GTGTGCAAAACACTTTACACTACGTGTCCGGTCTATGTGTTCTCTGGTTAGTGATTGAACACATTATAAGACTGCTTGCGTTGGCTGAAGTGTGTCAGGAATGTGAGTACATCTATTTATTCGTAAATACATATTAATCGATTATTTATACATTTATTTACTAATTATTATTCTAAAAACAAGAACAATTTCGTCATTAATGTTTTAATCAGGGTTTAAGGCTTTTAATTTTCAAACACAGAACACTAATAGTTATCATAAAAAATAAATAAAAATAAACCATATAAAAATATATCGATTGTTTATCAGCGATATCGAAATCAACGATGCACCGATTAACTATATACATGCCTCAAGCTAATAAAAAGAAATAATAATATAGATTTAAAAAAAATTTTGTTACTGGAGAAATTGTATATAAAATAATAATGGAGGTCGAATACGATGATTCTGGCTGGCAGGGCCGCACAAAACAACAGTCAGGTGCCGAGGTATACACAAACTTTGACGTTTATGTCAACTAAGTCTAATCAATCCAATGAAAACAAAAACTTGTTTGCTTTTATTAATTTCTAAACCAAGGAGACGCACGAAGATAATCCGCAGAAAACAATACAAGAATGTCTCGAAAAATTCTTAACGCCCGACTACATAATGGAACCAGGAATTTTCACACAGCTCAAGCGCTACTTTCAATCCGGCGGTTCACCTGAAGAAGTGATATCGATGCTATCTGAGAACTATAAAGCCGTAGCCCAAATGGCCAATCTGCTGGCCGAGTGGTTAATTTTGGCTGGTGTGAAAGTAACGGAAGTCCAGGCCATGGTAGAGAATCATTTAAAGGAGATGATTCTAAAATCGTTTGACCCAAAAAAAGCAGACACCATATTTACCGAGGAGGGCGAGACGCCGGACTGGCTCACAGAAATGATAGATCACTATACGTGGCGATCTCTAATATATCGCTTGGCTGAAGAATACCCGGATTGCTTGATGCTTAACTTTACTATAAAACTCATATCAGATGCGGGCTTCCAGAGTGAAATTACATCTATCTCAACAGCCGCCCAGCAAATTGAAGTTTTTTCTCGAGTTCTCAAAACTTCAATTGTTAAATTTCTAAATAATCCCGACGATGTGCATGGTGCCATTCAGGAATGCGCTCGCATGGTCTGCCACGGTCAGCACACGTATGTCTATTCGCAGGTGTTGATTCAAGTGCTCAGCCAAGAGCAGAAAGGTGGCTTCAATATGAAACGTTTGTCCCAGGAAATCATCAAATACGCATTGCAGAAGTACTTTTAATATATTGAAACTAAGGCATCCAATACAAACATTATCTTTTGACGTTTATTTTAGTAATCAGAACGTAACACCCATTACAATGGCATTAAATGGATCGGCGGTATATCCCCAGGCGTGTCAGGCTCTTACCTCCATGTTGACCCGCAATACCTTGAATCCGGCGGATATTACCGTACTATTTCGAAATTATTCTGGCTCTGACCCACCACCAATAGATTTGATACGTAATCCGCAGTTTTTAGAACTTTTGGTAGATGCGCTCTTCCGTTCTGGTGTTAAAATAAATCCGGAACACAAGCCCAAATATATTTTCTTGTTGGCATATGCCTCTTCTGTTATTGATCAGCCAGCTAAGAAGAGACCCATGACCGAAAGAACTTTAAATAAAGACGAACTAAAGAGCACAATTCAGGCAATAGAAAAGGCACATGCTATATGCAATGTAGACCAAGGATCCACTGAACTCATTGCGGAGCTACAGACGCTCTATAACTGCATAAAGTAAGAACTTAAGTCATGAACAAAATATAATTGTTCATATTTATTATTCTTCTGTTTTCCTGCCTACTTAGGTATCCAGTTGTTGGGGTTGGCGTAATCCGATGGATAGAAAATGTTGTAATGGAACCATCATATTTCAAACTGTCGACGGATAGTTGTCCCACACATTTGGCAGTGCTCGATGAGGTTGCTGGAGTTCATCCAACATTGCAGCAGCAAATTCTTTTTTTACTTATCCGCTTATTCGAGTCCAAACAAGATGAACTGGAGATACTTGTGCAACTTGAAATGAAAAAGATGATACTGGATCGCATGGTGAATTTGTTGACACGCGGTTGTGTCGTACCAGTGCTGCGATACATCAAACAATGCTGTGCAATCGAAGACACTGACATTTCGTTGATTCGGTATTTCGTTACCGAAGTGCTAGAAACTATAACCCATCCCTACTCGGTCGAGTTTGTACAACTCTTTCTACCAATGGTTGAGAACGAGGAGATTACAGGTACAATGCGTGGCGAGGGTGACAACGATCCCGTATCTGAATTTATTGGTGAGTGTTATTTAGAAGAAGAATACCTTAGATATACCTGTATATATCTGACATATTTCTTTCTATTTTTCAGTTCACTGTAAGGCGCATTTTATTACTGTATAGCAGGCAAATAATTTCTAATATAAGCTCAAAGTTTTTTTTTAGCTTTTAAGTTCATATTCATTTGTGTAATCAGTAAAGTCCAGTTTTCTACTTACAAAATTTGTCTTGATATATTCTCTCTCTCTCTCACACACTCAAAATCACAAACACATGCTCGCTCTGATCGATGTATGTATATTAATGAAAATCAACATTTAAAGGTTCAAATCACATAGATTTATTGCAACCAATGATCGTTAGTAACTCATACAAAAGTTTAATCGTATCAATGCGCATTTACATATAAATATACACTAAATAGTCCGATTGTTTTTGTCCATACATATACAGTCGTCTGTGATGAACTCTTTAAAAGAGCTTGAATACAGGTAAATGTAATATGGGTGGACCAACAAAAAAAAAGTATTTGAATAATTTCGCTCTATGACTTAGATAATTTTAAAATGAATTTAGGCATACCGAAGACTGCGCACTGGAGCCTGGATAGTGCAGTCCAGGTTTTATTAAACTGCAGACATTAATCGTTAATTATATTAGTCGTCGTATTTTGAAGTTTCAGTCGTCTTTATGAACAAAATAAAGGTGACTAAAAAGGTTACAAATTAAAATTAAGATAGACAAAAACTTAAGTTTGATAAAATCAGAGTTAATCATAAGCAGACACACCCACTTGCTGCTTACTATTGAATTTGATTTTGATCATCAACATATAAGTTAAAATTCATTCGATATCAATTAAATATGTAGCTTTGGTTGGCAGCGTATGAAAATTTTGAGCTAATTTAGAGATGATTTAATTGCTTTTCTTAACATCTTTGCTATCGCCATCCTTGGCCTGGCCACGCCCCAAGATCTTGGCCAAACTATCCCATATACCACCGAAGAAGATAGCACAGCACAAGTTCTCCAATGGCAGGAAGGGATCGTGAATACCCAGCAAGATAGAAGACAGTTTAAAGTACACCAAGAAGATAACAATGCCAAAATAGACTAAGGCATGTGGCGCTGAGATCCAATCGGTCTTTTTATCTAGCACAAAAATAATGGAGGCCAGCAAAGACGCTTTCGTATAACTGAAAGCACAAAGCAACCCATAATGACAGTATAAACAAACACAAAATGAGATCGATTCACTTACAAGGATGGCTGCATGAATTCCATTGCTGTCGGTGTCCACGCACCCCTTATGAGACGCTCGATCAGCTTGGTGAAGCCAGCGCCATTGCCCTTAAGAGTGCCAATTATGATCATGATTATCCAGGCATTCGGATATAGTTTGGCCGCATGTCCTACTCCGTCGTAGACTTTCTTCGCTCGATAAATTTCTTTCATGGCACTGGCCACAATTTTCACAGGTAAAAACTTGGCCACTTTGTATCCAATATCGAAGGGTGTATAAAAAACTATATACCTGCAAAAAAAAAAATGTGATTGCATTGCATATACATATGTGATTGTTGTTAACTAACCACACAGCTGTGCCTACGAGGAGTTGTCCGGTGTTTTTCAATGGTGCTAAGATGGGCTCCCCGAGTAACCCGTTGGCCACCATGCCGCCCGCGAATATTACCAGCATTGTGGATAGCCAACATGCCAGCGGATGTTTCCGCGAGAAGGCCTGAGCGTTGGCGCCTAAATCCTCGCGCACGGCCAGCGCGGCAAGTAAACTGTGCGCGATATCAAAGAACGGAAACATTTTTAGCTTGATGACCTGATTGGCCACATCCAAAAACGCTTCCGGGTCCATGATCACAGCTGATCTTGTATCCTTTCCTCACTGATGATATTCTTTATAAGGCAGAGAACATAACAAGAAAAATATTATTATTTGTATAGCAGTTTGTGAGATGCAAATGTGTGTACATAAAAATAGAGGAATGCCGCGAAAATTCTAGAAAATATGTTTTTTTGAATTTCCTTTAGCTTTTAAAGTTTACAGTTTGCTCTGGTTTTTTGATCCGCAGCTACATATGTATGTATATTAATTATAAGATTTTCACAATAGTTATATAATTAGAGGCAACTTGAAGCAACAATTTGCAATGAGCAATAAAATAATTTGCGGCATGCAAAGAATGCCTATGTACGAATATATGAATATACATATGTATATATATATACATATATTCATGGATATGGAATACACTTGCTCTGGTTTCTTACACTTTCTCTTGTAATTTAAAATGAAGCTCTTTTAACCCGCGCCGTGATGCTAAAAGATGTAGAAGTTGTCGGATTGTATGTTAATGTCGAAAAACATAAAAACAAATTCTAAGTCTAAATAAAAATGTCGCTGCTTTGCCAGAGCTCCAAAAATAAATTTCACCGATGAAACGGCGAGGGCTCTAAGAGGTGTACACCGGGTCCCCGTGCCAATCCGTCTGCTTGTCTACTTGCCCGTTCGCCTGCTCATCCGTTTTTACAGTTCTCTCAGAGTATTTGTGTGAATATATAAATACATACATACATACATATGTTCATGTAGACATCACTCGCTGGCGCCGACTATTTTCGAGCGAATATTTGAAGGTACATGTGTGTGTACATATGTACATACATATGTATGTATGCATAATACGTGTGTAATATTTGATATTTGTAAGACATTTCCTTTTACCGCCCACACGCATTTCCGGTTACAGCTTCTTAAAGAGTCTGCCGCGTATGCAATTTTTTTTTATGAAAAAGTGTCAACACTTAAATATAATTCTACATATGTATGTACATACATATTTGGTGGTCCATATACATATAATTTAACAAATTACCTACGTCTGCACGCGAACAACGGATAGCTGAGTGCAGCACGAGCACGGGGAGACTGGGCTCGAACCGGGCCCGTATATTACATGCTCATGTTAATTCGATAAGTTTACGTCGCTCTTGAAGACTATGTTTTATATTTAGAATCTGTGAGTTCTTATTCTGAGAAACAACCGAAATATTTATTTACGTATGTATATCCATGTATGTGTAAATAACTGATTAAGCGGGTAAGATTGTGTCTCATAATTGAAAGTTTGCTGTGCAACACTTAATTCTTGTGTTTGCTTATGTATTTAAATAAAACAGGTTACGCAAAGAAATACTTGGTCATTTTTATTTATGTTTTTATTTATTTTTACGCTTTGTTATCTTTTGACGTTTTACTTTCCTACTTAAAGGTTTGTTTATGTTTTCTAATTTAACTGTTTGCCGGTCACATCGTTTCCTAGTTCTTTCTTGTTTATCACGACACCGATACAAATTAAATCGAAACAAATTTAAAGCTATCGATAGGTATATGAATCTTGTATAATCGATATATCGATGTCTCAATTATCAAAATTTTTAATGTTTTTTGTCATCACTAACTTACTGTATTTTTTGTGTTTTTACAAATTCCAATGAAAATTCCCAAAACTTCAGCGAACTCCTATTGAATAAATCCGTCCACACGAGACCGTATCTCGGCATATTTAGTAAAGAAACCAACATACGCCAATTCACACAGTTCATACAATCAATTTATTTATAATTATATGCATGCATATTTATTGTTTGTACAAAAAGTGGTGCATATTATTATATTGCCTTTAACAATATAAAGGGCTCACGAAAAAAGGTAAGTGCCATTTACAGTTAAATACATACAAAAGAATATCATTTTGTTTTCTTTTGGACCAAAGAAATCTATATTTATTTAAATACATACATACATACGTATGTATAAGCCAACATACACATGCTCTCATAAGCGCACATATTCAAACTCACGCACTCATTGTAGATCTTGGCTTATTTGGTGAAACTGATTTGCACAATTTAAAGGTCGAAGCCGTTGGTGCTCATTAGCAAGGGAATTTAGATTAAGTATACCATAATATAGAGATAACCCTAGTGAGTTCTGTTATGCTATTTAGACTTTCATAGATATATGTACAAAAACCATTTATGCTATCTTCTCATTGTTACTAACTAAACATTAACAGTGGCACGCATACATACAGTGGCTCACACCTTATTTCGTGCAGCAGCATAGTACAACTTTGA